GGAACTTGTCACAGTTAGTGTCAAAAAGGACATGCATAGATAGATTGACAATTCTTTCCGACTACTGAGGTCAGTCAGTCAATTAGTTAGTTAGTTCATACATTTCTTACACCATTCTTGGCTATTGAGCTTAGTTAGTTCTACTGAGGTCAGTCGGTCAGTCAGTTAGTTCATAAATCTTTTCCACTATGCTTGACAATTGAGGTTAGTTAGTTCATATGGAGTCCTGAGGAGGGGAAGTACAGCTCCAGATCTTGAAATTCCTTCCACCACGCTGAAGTTAGTTAGTTTCTCAAGAGGGGAAAAACAGACATGCTTGACTGTTGGAAATGTTTGCTTGGTTGGTTGGTTAGTTCATATGGAGTGATATGGAGGGGAAAGACAGATGTTGACATTCCTATCAACAGGCCTGACTGAAATAGGTTAGTTGGTTAGTTAATTAGTTAGTTAGTTTTAGTTAGTTTCACTCATTCATATGGAGTCCTTAGGAGGAAAAATCTTGATGTGCCTATCAACATGCTTGACCATTGGGAATAAATGTTAGTTAGTTACTTAGTTAGTCCTTGTGTGGGGAAAGTCAGCCCCAGATCTTGACATTCATTCCATAATGCTTGACTGTTGGATATTGTTAGTTAGTTAGTTAGTTCGTTAGTTTTTGTTAATTCTTATGGAGTTATACAAGACAGCCCAAACCTTGACATACCTATCAACAGGCCTGACTGTTGGAAATAGGTTAGTTGGTTAGTTAGTTAATTAGTTAGTTAGTTAGTTTTTGTTAATTCATATGGAGTTATACAAGACAGCCCAAACCTTGACACTCCTCTCGACAGGCTTGACTGTTGGAAATAGGTTGGTTGGTTAGTTAGTTAGTTAGTTAGTTAGTTTTTGTTAATTCATATGGAGTTATACAAGACAGCCTAAATCTTGACATTCCTATCAACAGGCTTGACTGTTGGAAATAGGTTAGTTAAGTAGTTTTAGTTAGTTTCACTCATTCATATGGGGTCCTTAGGAGGAAAAATCTTGACGTTCCTATCAACATGCTTGACCATTGGGAATAAATGTTAGTTAGTCCTTGTGTGGGGAAAGTCAGCCCCAGATCTTGACATTCATTCCATAATGCTTGACTGGTGGACATTGTTAGTTAGTTTGTTAGTTTTTGTTAATTCATATATAGTTATACAAGACAGCCCAAACCTTGACATTCCTATTGACAGGCTTGACTGTTGGAAATAGGTTAGTTAGTTAGTTAGTTAGTTAGTTAGTTAGTTTTTGTTATTTCATATGGAGTTATACAAGACAGCTCAAACCTTGACATTCCTATCAACAGGCCTGACTGTTTGAAATACTAGTTAGTTAGTTAGTTAGTTAGTTAGTTAGTTTTTGCTATTTCATATGGAGTTATACAAGACAGCTCAAACCTTGACATTCCTATCAACAGGCCTGACTGTTTGAAATACTAGTTAGTTAGTTAGTTAGTTAGTTAAAGCATAGGTATTAAGGACAATGTGCATACATTTTGTATGCAAGGATGCATGTGTTGTACTGTATGTGAGTTTATTGATTATGAGCATTATTATTGTTATCTACTTACTTTATAGTCATTCCTCAGAAATTTAAACATAAATCACATTACACATAAAGGCAACTGCATTGCACCTTTACATGCCCTATTGATTAAAAGACATAATGACTTTATTTCAGCCTGAATTTCCGTGGAGATGTTAAGTGGCTATGATGTTGAGGGATCAGGAGAGCTTAGACATGGCTCAGTTTAGGATTGGCTGAGGACTAAGGAATAAGGTATTTCTGCCCCACCTGTCACCTGTGCTGCGTGACAGAGCATGGCTCTGTGTCATTGGAGTGTAGGGTGAAGACTGGAGCCTAAACTGATTACTAATCTGAGCCTGAGACCATATGGCCCTCATTGAGGTGATGGAGGAGGAGACTATTTGCATAAAGCCACAAGTTTATTTTTTAACAGTGCATTTCATGATGAAAGTCTTAGACAGGTAGAATTAGAGAGGTACCAAATTAGCATGTGATGTTTGTGTCCTCCATTGAGAGGTTATTGGGATTGGCGTATCTGGGCCCCTCTGTGCTAACCAGACAGTGTGTTGATAAGCAAACTAAAGCAAGACACTTGGATTAGGATTAGTTGACTGTGTCACAGTATGCACACTTCTGCAATTCACTTATGTTTTGCTGGTGATGGGAAAGAACATATGCCAACATAAAATTGCATTTTGACATCACAGACCAGCCTGACCAGCACCAGATTAGTAGATAATCAGAATAAACCAGTTTAGTATTTTCAGCAGGTTAGGAAAAATCAGAAAGCCACTGATTCTGTGTAATAAACATTAATATTCATAATAATATTCATAAAAAACCTCTCTTTCCTCCATCAGTAACATGTTCCCAGCCAACTTGGTCCAAGCAACATTTCAGCAAGTGAGGTTTTATGTTTTCCCATTAGTTTGTGCCTTCAGTGCTTGAGCTGTTAAACCAGAAAAATGTCATAATAAAGATATTTACTGATATTGACTTGAAATGTTGATTCCTAAATAACACCTAAATTTCCCTTTTATACATACCATCCACATAAGAATGTAATTTTAGGTGGAGATGCAGGATATGTAACTGTAACCGGCCAGTATTAACGTTTTTTTTAATTTATTTTTTGGTATTCGTCAGTATTGGCTATTTAATTGTACAGCTCATTTCCCCACAAAAAAAAACTCACTTACATTTCGTGTGCGACTGTTTGGTGAATCCCACCTCAGAATGCCATCTATTTCTGGTGTAACACTACAGGTACTTCCCATTTGGAATTGTGTTTCTGGTGGCTGGGAAGATCTTGGAAATGGACGACCCTTCAGCTATGGGAAAGAAACTGGGCTTCTACGCTATCACTGTGGTCATGGGGCTGGTGCTTCACGGCCTGTTCATTCTGCCTTCCATGTATTTCTTCATTACGAAAAAGAGCCCCATCGTCTACATCCGAGGGATTTTACAGGCCCTGCTCATCTCATTAGCTACTGCATCCAGGTAACAGCACCTTTATGCAATTCATGTTTTGAGATAAGTCCTGCTAGATGATAACAAACTAAAGACAGGAATACACTACACAACTTCAAATCAACACGCTTGGCATCATTCACTTACCAACTGGGCATCACACACATTAAAGACTAAGGATCATACACTACCAGACTTTCAAGTTGTTCCAAACACAACAGACGCAGAAACAGGTGCCTCCTTGCTAGAAGACACATGACATATGAAAAAAATGTGTAATGTTCTAAATGTTCTAAAATCGACTCTAAATATCAAACATGTTTAATACGCGCCAGCCAGAAGGAATCATAGTCTGAAGATAAAATATTGGAGTCTGTGCCGATGTCATACTCTATGCAACATCTTGTGAAATCTGTCAACTCTGACTGTCCAGAATGTAAATTCTGAATTCTGGTGAAAAGTTGAGTGGTGAATTCCAGCCTAGAACTGAAAGTAGCACAAATGTAAACGACAAACTCTTGTGTTGTACTCCAGCTCTGCCACGCTGCCTATCACATTTAAGTGCCTCCTGGAGAACAACCACATCGACCGCCGCATCATTCGCTTCGTACTTCCTGTTGGCGCCACTATCAACATGGACGGCACTGCCCTATATGAGGCCGTGGCAGCCATCTTTATAGCTCAAGTCAACAACTACGAGCTAGACTTTGGGCAGATCATCACTATCAGGTAGGGTAAGACATTTGTGAGTTTGGCCTAATCGCCTTCCAGGGCAAATTGGCGATCAAAAACTCTGGGGGGTCAAAACCTCCTTCTGGGGGTTCCTACCTCGGTTGAAATCATGTTTCAGTGGGGAGACCTGCAGCAACAGTATAAAAGCAGCTCAATTACATGGGAAACCACGTACTTGGCAACACTGATGATCGATGCTCATTAAGATTTATGATTGATTTTTATTAAGAACTTGTTGATTACAACGTTTACTTGTGTATTGGTCAGGGATCGGTTCAGGACGATGGTGAACGTGATGGGTGACGCTCTGGCCACAGGAATCATGGCACACATATGCAGAAAAGACTTCGTAAAGGAGGGCGAGGAGGTGAGAATGAGTTTATACGGGTTCTTCAAAATAAATAACACGCCACCCTAATGTCCATTTCACTATAAAATTCAGATTTCGTCTCTTCTCTTTACAGATTCCTCTCATCTGTGAGACCAAGCCCATGATCAGCATCCAGCAGCTGATGTCCTATCAGAAAAACGGCTGCTTCCTGTCCCCTCCGCCAGGCCCCATGAGGAAACCCGAGCACCTGTCGCCCGACGTGGCCCGTCTCATGCAGCTGGAGGAGGGCATCAGGCCCCCTGACAAGAAGAAGTCCTCTCATCTGTCTCCACACCATTACAAACGAGACTATAAAGACAAAGACCACTGTACCATTGACATGAATGGTCTGGAGACCAATGTCTAGACTCCTTCACAGACCAAAAGCCGTTCTCTTGCTCTACCTTTGGATTTTGAGTGCGTGAGAATGTCTTTGTAGGGAATTTCACGACGGGAAGCTGAAGCGATCGGGGGCCGGTGAATCTTTGGACATGTGAAGGGGATTTGCCAAACGCTGTTGACCCCTGGTTGGCTGAGCTCCTCGCTGAAGTGTGTGAGGAAAGAATGAGTGCTGTTGTCATCGTGTCCTTTCCCTGCGATCCGCAGGAGAGAAGAACAATGCTCTTCATGGACAGCTTGGCTGTGGGATGTGGATAAATGTTGTTTTATTCTGGTATGTTGTATATCATATGCTGCTGAGATCTCTTTTTTCATCTTCAGAAAAGTTATTTTTGAAGCTTTCTCTGTGGGATAGTTCACCCAAAAATGAAAATTTGAGTTTATCTGCTTACCGCCAGGGCATCCAAGATGTAGGTGACTTTGTTTCTTTAGTAAAACACAAACAAAGATTTTTAACTCAAACCGTTGCAGTCTGTCATCGGCTACAGCAGCCAGTATCGGTGCTGCTGGCATTCCACAGGCCGGCCTGGTAACCATGGTGATAGTGTTAACCTCAGTGGGACTTCCTACAGATGACATCACTCTTATTATTGCTGTGGATTGGGCCCTGTAAGTCTCTCTTATTCAATTCCATTGTAAATGTATGATTGACAGGCTTGCCAGGTCTGCATATCAAAAACCAGCCCAATAGCTAAACTAGTCAAATCAAGGCCAAAACTAGCCTAATCGCCTTCCAGGGCAAATTGGCGATCAAAAACTCTGGGGGGTCAAAACCTCCTTCTGGGGGTTCCTACCTCGGTTGAAATCATGTTTCAGTGGGGAGACCTGCAGCAACAGTATAAAAGCAGCTCAATTACATGGGAAACCACGTACTTGGCAACACTGATGATCGATGCTCATTAAGATTTATGATTGATTTTTATTAAGAACTTGTTGATTACAACGTTTACTTGTGTATTGGTCAGGGATCGGTTCAGGACGATGGTGAACGTGATGGGTGACGCTCTGGCCACAGGAATCATGGCACACATATGCAGAAAAGACTTCGTAAAGGAGGGCGAGGAGGTGAGAATGAGTTTATACGGGTTCTTCAAAATAAATAACACGCCACCCTAATGTCCATTTCACTATAAAATTCAGATTTCGTCTCTTCTCTTTACAGATTCCTCTCATCTGTGAGACCAAGCCCATGATCAGCATCCAGCAGCTGATGTCCTATCAGAAAAACGGCTGCTTCCTGTCCCCTCCGCCAGGCCCCATGAGGAAACCCGAGCACCTGTCGCCCGACGTGGCCCGTCTCATGCAGCTGGAGGAGGGCATCAGGCCCCCTGACAAGAAGAAGTCCTCTCATCTGTCTCCACACCATTACAAACGAGACTATAAAGACAAAGACCACTGTACCATTGACATGAATGGTCTGGAGACCAATGTCTAGACTCCTTCACAGACCAAAAGCCGTTCTCTTGCTCTACCTTTGGATTTTGAGTGCGTGAGAATGTCTTTGTAGGGAATTTCACGACGGGAAGCTGAAGCGATCGGGGGCCGGTGAATCTTTGGACATGTGAAGGGGATTTGCCAAACGCTGTTGACCCCTGGTTGGCTGAGCTCCTCGCTGAAGTGTGTGAGGAAAGAATGAGTGCTGTTGTCATCGTGTCCTTTCCCTGCGATCCGCAGGAGAGAAGAACAATGCTCTTCATGGACAGCTTGGCTGTGGGATGTGGATAAATGTTGTTTTATTCTGGTATGTTGTATATCATATGCTGCTGAGATCTCTTTTTTCATCTTCAGAAAAGTTCTTTTTGAAGCTTTCTCTGTGGGATAGTTCACCCAAAAATGAAAATTTGAGTTTATCTGCTTACCGCCAGGGCATCCAAGATGTAGGTGACTTTGTTTCTTTAGTAAAACACAAACAAAGATTTTTAACTCAAACCGTTGCAGTCTGTCATTCATATAATGGAAGTGAATGGGAATCATGGCTTTGAGAGTCAAAAAAACACACGCAAACAAAACCAAATTAAATCCTGCGGCTCGTGGCGATACATTGATGTGTAAAGACACGAAACGATTGGTCTGTGCAAGAAACTGAACAGTATTTATATTGTTTTTTACCTCTGATTTACCGCGATGTCCGAACTGTCCGGAGCGCGTTCGCGTCTTCCTCTTGCTTTACGGTGGATCGCAGACTTATAAGTGCATTACCGCCACCTATCTCTCAAGTCGAACATTGACACTCCTAATTGAGATTGTAGATAGAGTGTCAATGGTCCATTTGAGAGATAGGTGGCACACTTATAAGTCTGCGATCCGCCGTAAAGCAAGAAGAAGAAGAAGACACATCACGCGCTGGCTGTCGAGGACGTGCTCGGGACAGTTCGGACATTCAGGTGAATCAGAGGTAAAAAACAATATAAATACTGTTCTGTTTCTTGCACAGACCGATCGTTTCGTGTCTTTACACATCAATGTATTGTCATGAGCTGCAGGGTTTAATTTGGCTTTGTTTGTGTATTAGGCATGGGCTGATCACCGGTTTCAAGGTATACCGCGATTTGAAAATGTCACGGTTTCAAAACCGCTAATATTTTCCATTATACCGTTCCTGCGGTTTGTGCTGTTTTTCATGTCTCCTCAAAGACTGAAAGTGTAGGAATTCCTCAGGTTGAGTGCAGTGTAGAGAGTAACACGACCCTCCTCCTCCTGTTGGTGCGAGCGAGCGGTCAGTCACGTGTGTGTAGTCTGGCCACAGGAATCATGGCACACATATGCAGAAAAGACTTCGTAAAGGAGGGCGAGGAGGTGAGAATGAGTTTATACGGGTTCTTCAAAATAAATAACACGCCACCCTAATGTCCATTTCACTATAAAATTCAGATTTCGTCTCTTCTCTTTACAGATTCCTCTCATCTGTGAGACCAAGCCCATGATCAGCATCCAGCAGCTGATGTCCTATCAGAAAAACGGCTGCTTCCTGTCCCCTCTGCCAGGCCCCATGAGGAAACCCGAGCACCTGTCGCCCGACGTGGCCCGTCTCATGCAGCTGGAGGAGGGCATCAGGCCCCCTGACAAGAAGAAGTCCTCTCATCTGTCTCCACACCATTACAAACGAGACTATAAAGACAAAGACCACTGTACCATTGACATGAATGGTCTGGAGACCAATGTCTAGACTCCTTCACAGACCAAAAGCCGTTCTCTTGCTCTACCTTTGGATTTTGAGTGCGTGAGAATGTCTTTGTAGGGAATTTCACGACGGGAAGCTGAAGCGATCGGGGGCCGGTGAATCTTTGGACATGTGAAGGGGATTTGCCAAACGCTGTTGACCCCTGGTTGGCTGAGCTCCTCGCTGAAGTGTGTGAGGAGTGCTGTTGTGCTGTTGTCATCGTGTCCTTTCCCTGCGATCCGCAGGAGAGAAGAACAATGCTCTTCATGGACAGCTTGATGTGGATAAGTGGATAAATGTTGTTTTATTCTGGTATGTTGTATATCATATGCTGCTGAGATCTCTTTTTTCATCTTCAGAAAAGTTATTTTTGAAGCTTTCTCTGTGGGATAGTTCACCCAAAAATGAAGAGAACTTAAAGGGATAGTTCACCCAAAAATGAAAATGTGATGTTTATCTGCTTACCCCCAGGGCATCCAAGATGTAGGTGTCTTTGTTTCTACACAAACAAACAAACAAAGATTTTTAACTCAAACCGTTGCAGTCTGTCATTCATATAATGGAAGTGAATGGGAATCATGAGTCAAAAAATCAAAAAAACATACACAAACAAAACCAAATTAAACCCTGCAGCTCGTGATGATACACTAATGTGTAAAGACACGAAACGATCGGTCTGTGCAAGAAACTGAACAGTATTTATATCGCTAACTGTCCTGAGCACGTTCTCAACAGCCGGCGCATGACGTGTCAATTGAGATTGTAGATAGAGTGTCAATGGTCCATTTGAGAGATAGGTGGCACACTTATAAGTCTGCGATCCGCCGTAAAGCAAGAAGAAGAAGAAGACACATCACGCGCTGGCTGTGAGGACGTGCTCGGGACAGTTCGGACATTCAGGTGAATCAGTTAGTCAGAAGGTGCGAGCGAGCGGTCAGTCACGTGTGTGTAGGATGGCCGAACTAAGGAGCTTTCCCCTGGAACTTACGCGATCGGCAACCGGATGTTTTTTTGTCTTATTGCAAGCAACTCGTCTCTGCTCTGGACTTGCACAAACTGCGTTGCAATGCAATCGTTTTCCAAAATGTCATTTATGTGAAAATATGAAGTCTGTAAACGCCCGGTAACACAGGCCAGAGACGTTGAAGACGGACGCACAGAGAAAAATATTGTAGCAGGCAGATCACTCACTGTTCATGATACATGAACTATTGGAAGAAAATCCTCAATATTGATTTGGGGGTTTATATGAATGTGTTTCTGAGGGGAACTTCAGAAAAGTTTACGTGCCACTTTCTTTTCATCTTATAGTTCACATTAAAGCAGTGTTTCAGCTTACCCAAGGAAACGCTGTATCTGCTGTTCCATGAGCGCCTCCTGCTGTCAGAGAGTGAATCTGCATCTCATTCAGAGCTTCTGCTGTTTGCTTGCCGTTTGCTTCGTTCAGGCAAGTAGTATAATTTCACAAAGCTAGTCAGAACAGAACATTATGTTTTTGCTTCAAATTGGGTTATTATTAAATCAAATTATGTATTTGAAATTATAGAACTAAATGGTATGAAATGATATAAATTATATGTATTTGAATTATATAACTAAAATTAAATAACTAATTACAGATTTAGGTTAAATAAAGATGTCGGTCTTTATTTTTCTTCTTTTTAGGAAACAAATCAAAAAGAAAATATAAACAAATTCTACTGTTCATAATATTCTGTATGTTGTTATAGACATAACACATTTTAGAGCTGTAACAACAATACCGTGATACCGTGAAACCATGATATTTTTGCTTAAGGTTATCATACCATCAAAATCTCATACCGGCCCATGCCTATTGTGTATGTTTTTTTTACTCTCAAAGCCGTGATTCCCATTCACTTCCATTATAAGACTGACAGACTGCAACGGTTTGAGTTAAAAATCTTCGTTTGTGTTCTACTGAAGAAACAAAGACACCTACATCTTGGATGCCCTGGGGGTAAGCAGATAAACATCACATTTTCATTTTTGGGTGAACTATCCCTTTAAGTTCTCTCTTTCAGTAACAGAGAGAGAAACTGAGGGAAACTGTTCCCTGAAGAAGATTTAACATACATACAGTGGCCCCAAGAAGTTTTT